CCCTGCCCGGCCGCGGCAGCCATGGCCGCGCGTGCCCGCGCCCCGCGCGCACCCGCGCCCGCCCGCCGCCGGGTAAAGTCTTAGGTTCAGGGAACAAAGCCGGCTGGGTAGGGCGCTTTCCGCTGCTATGCTCACGGCTTTTGGGCTTCGGCCTCCGCGCCCCGTTTCTCCCGCTGTTTTTGCCCTCTGGTCTCGCGCCCCGGGGCTCCCACTCCTCAGCTCTCGCTCACGCCCGCTGGGTCTTCATCCCTGAGTCGGTTTCACAGCCGCAGGGAAATCTGGGGTGCCGGTCAGGGGCGCGAGGGGCTACGTGGACCATGCGCCCCGGCGCGTCCTGGGGTGCCCTTCTTTGGCCGCGCTGGGACGGCAGACACTGGGTCACACACAGCAATTCGTTCGACCCGAGTCCATGGAGCGTCAGTGGGTGACAGCCGCCGGGACAGTGGGGAGCGGAGCGGAGCAGAGCTTCCAGCCCTCGGGGCGCTTCCCGTCCAGGTCACCGATGCGAGGGCCCGCACTGGGGCTCTGGTCCCTCGGAGGCTCACGGACCCCACCCCCCGCGCCTAGAGACCGCTGTGCTCCCGACCCCGGACACCCTTGACCTCCAGGCGTGCGCACAGGGGAGCGGGCCCGGAGGATTAGAGTCCCTGAAATGGGTCTGGGATTACAGGCGTGGGGGGGGGGTCCGCTCGAAGGCTTCTTGTCCGAGGCCGGCGTGGGCCAGGGGGACGAGATCTGACCCCCGCACACTTCTAAAGGGGGGTGGGCACCCGCGGGGACCAAAGGTCACCTCCCCCCAGCGGGAGGTGGGGTGGTGGAGAGGAGAAGGCGGCCCTGGGGGCTTCTGCGACACTTCAAAGCCGCGGCGGCCGGGAGTGCTTCCTGGGGGGAGGGGCGGAGGGGACCGTGGGGGGCTGGGCTGGGGCGCCCCCCTTCCGCGCGCTGCCCCTCGGCCGACTCTTCCGCCGGGTCCGCCTCCTTTTCACCAGCACCTGTTCAACCGGAACATCAAGGGGCCGGGCCGCCGCCCCCCTCCGTGGCGCTTTAGTGCCTTTCATCCGGGAAGGGGGGAGAGTCTCCGCCCAGGAGGGGGACAAGGTGGGGAGAACTTGTCCTTGACCCGGTCCTCGCCATCAGGGATTTAGGGCCTTAATCCCGTCGCGGCGGGAGGCGGAGGAGGTCTGGGCCTCAGCCCCCTGGCTCGCTCCGCGTGCTCCTGCGCTCCTGCAAGGATGCGAACAATCCCGGAGAGCTGCCGGGACGAAGGGGCGCGGTCTGCGCGGGCTCAGCGGATTTCGCGCCTGGGAAAGACACCGGGAGCCCGGGAACGCCCCAGCCAGCGCGTGCCTGAGGGCCGCGACCCCGGGACACCCTGTTTGGGGTCGGTCTGTGAACTTCGCTCCTAGGAAAAGTTAAGCACCGAAGAAATGTCGGGACTTTCTAATCAATCACCTGTACCGGCAAGAGAAAAATTGGAAGGAAAACGCAGAGAAGTCAGCCCCAAGCACATGCCAGTTGCAGAGTAGTTCAACATTTGCTTTCTTTTGGGACCCGCGGCCACCAAGGTGGACGCATTTCCAGGGTTCGCAGGATGGGGCACTCGATGACTCCTTTGATTCCTGCGCCCAAGGATGGGTGACCTGGGACAAAGCCTGGAAGCCTTGGTCTTGGATCAGCCCAGGGCCCCCTGTGTCCCGAAGCCCGTGGGATGGACGAATGGCGACACTTTCGCGGTTAGCGGCTTAGGGACATTGCTCCATTTAATCTCCCATACCCAGTATTATGGGTGGCGCAGGTGAGGTCCCCACGGATTAAGTAACTTAGTCCAAGCACACAGCGGGGGAAAGCGGCGGGGCCGGGATTTGAACCCGTGTGTCCTCCAGGCTAGGGCTAGGCCACCACGAGTCGCCCCAATGCGTTCCCCAAGGGTTCCTCCCTATCAGGGCTCCCGGCCCCACGGGCTGGGCTAAATTCACACTGGGTGCACAGGGCCAAGCTGAAGCCTCCTAATCATCCTGATCGTCCACCATGTGCCGGTCCACAAAACATGGGGCAGGACGTCGCCTGGCGTGGCGGCGCAAGTCCATAATCCAGGCACTCGAGAGGCTGAGGCAGGAGGATCCCCCACGAGTTCCAGGCCACCCTAGACTAGTGACATTTTTTAACAAACAAAACAACACCTAAGGACCCGAGTTCGATCCCCGGTCCCCAAAAAACAAAACAAAACAACAAAAAAAGGGAGCAGAAGCAGGACCAACAAGTGGTCCAAGTCCGTCGTGCCCTGATTCCAGATTTGGGATGCCACGCACATCTCGGCTGTGCTACTTCACCTCTCCTAGGCTCCGCTAGTCCCCGGGGAACTGGGGTGTCACACCCTTCAGGGAGGGCGGCCGGGGAAACCGAACGAAAGTCTTTGCTACAGCTGGGAGACGCACAGTGGGCGCTCAGCCCAGCTGGCCCCGCTCCGCCCTCCAAGCGCGCCAGCATGCGCGCCCCCGCTTCCCGCCTCCCGCACTCCCCCCCCCCCCCCCCCCCCCCCCCCCGTCCCGCCGCAAAGGTACTGGGGCAGCGACGAGCAAACAGAAAATTATTTCCTCTGGCTCGGCCCGCCCCGCCCCGCCCCGCCCCGCCCCGCCCGTCCCCGGAGCCAGAAGGGGATTGTGGGGCCGGGGAACGGGCGGAAGCGCGCGATGCTGCTGCTCGGGCCCGACCGCGCCTGGCCGGGCGGTGCGCTGCGCGCGGCGGGCTGAGGCTAAGGCTGCGGGTGGGACAGTCCCGGGCCACTGCGCGCGTTTCCGCGAAGTCCCGCCGGCCGCTTCCCGGAACCCTGCTGAGGAGGTTGTAGGGTGCTGCGCTTTCTCGTGTGTAAGCCAGCTCCGCGCGTGGTTTTGCCGAGTCCCGGGGACGTGGTGCGACCTCTACCCTTGCCCAATTGTCCTGGGCTCCAAGAGAAGCCGGCTCCGGGCGCGCGCCTTTGGATTCCTCGGCACACCTTATTCTGCACCGCGCCCCCGTAAAGCTTCTGACCTTGGGGGTGCTCCGAGTGGTTAAGTTCCTTTCTCGGGTACCCCAGCCGGTGAGAGGCTTTGAGTGGGAAGGCCGGTGTGAAGCACTAGAACGCGGAGTGCCTGTCATTCCAGCACGGGAGGCTGAGGCAGGCGGATTGCCGCGAGTGGAGGCCAGCCTGTACTACATAGTGAGTTCAAGGCCAGCCGGAATTACATAGTGAGACCCTGTCTTAAACCAATTTTAAGAAAAAAGAAATGGGGGTGGGGCGGGGTGCATCAGGATCAGACAGGTTCCAGTCCCAGCCCTGGCACTTATGGCCGGTAATGGTGACTTATTGGAACTCTCAGTTTCCCCATGTGTCAACTTCGTACGGACTCAGGGTTGTGAGAGCAACTCCCCGCCCAGGGCCCGGCAGCCGGAAGGGTGATTTCCCCGGAAAGGTTATGGTGGCGATGGGCTTGCAGGGTGGGTAGACTGGTTCTTTCCACAGTCAGACGCCCTGGGCAGGGCGAGAAGCAGGGAGCCCAATACAGAGAGGAACTGGTGGGCGGGAGGGGACTCCCAGGCGGGCAGCGGGGGGCCGGGCACGGCCACCACCGCAGTGACTGTGCACTTGCAGGAGATCTGGCTTTTCCCAGGTTTCACAGGAAGAGCGGCTTACTCTCAGCTCCTGCCTCTCCACCATTAGCCAGCAGCCTTGGTTTGCCAACCTGTAAAATGGGGATAATGGGGTCCCCTGCCCCCTGCAGGGCTTTGGCGACTGACTGCAGCCAGCCAAGTCTCAGCAGGAGCTTTAAGAGCTGTGAGCAGTGGGGCATGGTGGTCCACACCTGTACTCCCAGCACATAGGAGGCTGAGGCAGGAGGATCCCGGGGAGTGTGAGTCCAAATCCAAGTACAGTGGTTGCCTTGACCTTGGGGCTCGTGGGCCTTTCTCTAGGGAAATGGGGTGGGTGGGAAGGAAGGCTCACGGGATGAGCCCTCTGTGGGCTGTGCTGTGTACACCCACCACTCCTGGGATGAAGGGAATCATTATGTATTGCAAATGTGCGCCACTAAAAATTTTTAAAATTTGGAGAGAAAGAGTGTGAGCCCCCAGCCCTTGCTCCAGCCCTACCTGGAATCCGATCCCAGCCCAGCCTCTAAGCAGCTGTGTGACCTTGGGTGAACCCTTTTTTTTTTTTTTGGTACTGGGGCTCGAACTCAGGTCCTTGAGCTTGTGCAACAGGCAGCGGAACCACTGAGCTAAATCCCCTCCTTCTGATGACTGCTTGGGTGACAGATCTCGAAAGTCCCTTGGAGTTGACAAGGTGACTCCCCCAGGGAAGTTTCAGGCTGGGGTGACAGATGCCTCCCACACTCACCCTGCCCATTCCTCTTTTCTGCCAGGGCTGCCTCAGCTCTGCCCTTCAGCCCTCTGGTGACAGTGGCCCTTGGTGCTGAGAAGCCATGTCGGTCAGTCTTTCCACACAGACAGACAGACACACAGGGAAGGAACTTCAGCCAGGAGCATGGCTGTGGTGCTTGGTGTGGTGGCACAGGTCGGTGATCCCAGCACTTGGG